TTTGGGTCATGGTTTATAAGTATAAAGCCTACGTCCAGAATTATACTTTACAAAGGGGATGAAAACAATAAAAAAGGGAAAGAGCTGACCATTACCTTCTCGTGGAATATCCGAGCTCTGTGATTTTGTATCAAATTCAAAAGTTCAGTCTTATTCCTTGGAAACTCAGCATCGTCCTGGATTTCATAGAGTGGTACCACATAAGCGCATTTTTTACATGGCGCAGTCTGCTTCGTAGTGCTGAGAAAATTGGACAACATTCCATTCATGTAGGGTGCTGCCACCATGTCAATATCGACGGTGAGGACATTTTCACAAGGACAAGCTCGCCGAGCCAGGTTCCTCATGTGATTTTGAGGGTAATGCTTTATTATGCTGTTTTCTTTGCCCAGAAGAACCATCAAGAGTCTGTTTACCCCTTCCGGATCAGAACAACTAAGAGGAGGTGCCTTGTATTCAGTGGAGAATTTGGGGGGATACTTCCTTGAGTACATTATATGAAAGGACACGTTCTCTTGAACAGCGGGGAAGCAGTATTTCAAGTAGGATACCATAGCAAGGGCCACGGCATAATCAGAGCCTGGAGCGTAGATGGCCATGGACACTGGCCCTCTGAAAGCCTCAGCCTGTCGAGCCACCCAGAAGATGCGGTCGACGCTGCCTTGGGTAACGAGACACACTCGAGAACTTCGGGTAACTTCCTCCCACCGTGTAGCGGGCCAGACAAAGGAGTGGCTGGAGTATTTGCCCTTTTCGGCCACATTGGCAAAGGCCTGGGACACCATCTCGGTTGGATGTGCCTGCAATTCGGAGATTGGACTGTAAATGTTATTTCATGTTTTTTCTTTTTTTGTAACATTAAAGAGATTTAGTTAAGAACCCTGTTTAGATATATATCAAATCGATCACAAAATCAAGAGCTATACTGTGCCAGATAGCCTAAGTTTAAGGTTTGAAGTTCATATCTAAATCATGACCCATTGTCTTCCATGCTACTTACAGGAGAGAGAGTGTAAATCCTTCTTTTATATCTCTCGTCATGGAACATCTGTTTTGCCATAAATAGCAACATCACCAGGGTCACTACTATTAAATCTCGACGATTCAGACCCATCTAGAATTAGAATCAATAATTCAAAATTAATAATTCATAATTGTTTTAGCAGTCAAACATAAAAATAAGTGGATATCTAAGGTGGAATATCAGCAGCAAACTTGTGTTCATATATATATCATATATATATATATATATATATATATATATATATATATATATATATATATATATATATATATATATATATATATTTCAATCCCCTACAGGACGTATGCCTCTCCTAATCTTTCCCAACTTTATCTGTCTTTCATTTTAGTTTCCAGTCTTGGTCCCCAAATTTCGTTATTTCGTCATGCCATCTTCTCATTGGTCTATGTCCTTGGTCTGTATGTTATCTATATCCCAGTCTATTACTTCTTTGTCCGTTTGTCGTCCTGTCTCCGTCATATATGACCTACCCATTGCCATTTTTTTTCTTTTATCTTTCACTTTTGTCTGTTCTCTGACCCACGTCGCCCTCATCCGATCTCTTAGACTAATTACCTCTCCATCCCTCTCTGGGCACTTATTAGTTTCCTTTCCAGTAATTTGCTTGTAGTCCATGTTTCTGATCCAAGGTCATAAATGGGAGGATGCATTTTAATCATAATGGCAAGGAGCCTCTTAGTGTGCTACCGCGTCTGTCGAAGGCGCTCCAGCCTAGACTGATAGATCGCTTAATTTCCTCTTCGCTTGATGTGTTTGCCTGTACAAGTTGCCCCTGGTATATAGACATGCCCATTACCTCTAGCACTTCGCCTTGTACATGTATCTGTTTGAACTGAACTCTGTTTTTTCTTGTCTTTTTCTTGTTTATCGTAAGTCCGGCTGTCAGACTTTCTCAATTCAAATCGTTTATTAGTTGCTGCATTTCATTTTCGGATTCTCGGAAGAGAAAAATATGTGTAAATCTTAGGTTGTTTAGGTATTTGTCTTCTGTGTTGATACCCTTTCCGTTCCATTCTAGCTTCTTGAATATTTCCTCAAGGCAAGCTGTAAACAGTGTGTATGTGTGTGTGTGTGTGTGTGTGTGTATGTGTATGTGTATGTGTGTGTGTGTGTGTGTGTGTGTGTAAATGTGTATAGATGTGTATGAATATGTGAATAATTTATAAATACGTATACATATTTATATATGCAATATGCATATACATACATATATATTTATAAAGAGAGATAGATAGTCCGTTTGGGACTTTGTAGCACAACGAAGCATATAATTTCAACGGAACCGCCGTAGCGCGTTACTGTAATTTTTGTGTGGCGCACAAACGCAATGGTCCCGGGAGGTGCTAGTAAAGCTCCTGTCGGTCAGTGTTTATATTTGAGCATTACAGTTGCGCTACAGACTTCCGTCCGAACGTATTCTTTGTAGCGGACAAAAGTATGCCGCATTTTCCAACG